TCTTCTTCTCTCACTCACCCCACCTCTGGTCAGCGGTGGGTTACACCGCCATCACCATCATCACCGATGTGGCCTCTCGACCCCTGATTCATACTCATTGTCCATCGTTTGTCTCAAATCACAAAAAATTGTTCGAACACCCATCCTCGATCTTTGTCGTCAGTTATCGGTGATCGTCACCGCCGATACCAATAGGAGCGTCGCCTCATTCTGACCAAAACCTCACTAGCCATTCGCCGAGACTTACCTCCTTTCGCCATGGAGAGGGCCCCGAATCTCGTCGGAAAATCCCATATCTCCTTTTCTGCACCTAACTTTTAAAACTTGTAGTACAGTATCTAACTTTTAGGGGCGCTTTCATTTTGGTCACCTGACTTTTAATCGTTTACAATAAGGTCCCTATTGTAACCATTTGCTGACGTGGCACTTAACCGCCATTAACTCCCTCCCCCTTCTTATTCCTCGTTTTCTTCTTCTTCTCTCACTCACACCACCACCCACCTCTGGTCAGCGGTGGATCACACCACCATCACCATCGTCACCGATGTGGCCTCGACCACACCTCGACCCTGATTCATACTCATTATCCACCGTTATCCCAAATCACAAAAAATCATTTGAACACCCATCCTCGATTTTGTCGTCAGTTATCAGTGATCGTCACTGCCGATACCAATAGGAGCGCCACCTCATTCCGACCAAAACCTCACTAGCCACTCGCCGAGACTTACCTCCTTTCGCCATGGAGAGGGCCCCCGAATCTCGTCGGAAAATCCCATATATCCTTTTCTGTTTGATCAATTTCCGGCCAATAAGGTTGTTTGTTCACCCACATCGCCACCACCGTTGAAGTTCTCACACTGTTTGAGCAAAACCTAGTCGATCGTGTCTCCTCGTCGTCATCCCTCCTCCGTAGAGACGAAGAAAAAGAAGGCAGATAAAGAGGAGGAGAGGAAGGGAGGAGGGAGGAAGGGGTTAACGATAGTTAAGTGCCACATCACAAAACCTAACGGGAGAGTACGGAAGGGACCTTACTGAAAACAATTAAAATTTGATGATTGTACTGTAAGTTTTAAAGGGTGGGTGACCAAAATGTAAGTACCTAAAAGTTGGGGACTATTTATATACTTTACCCCTTTTTTGATTTGCATGCTGTGGAAACATCGAGAAACGCTGTCGAAGCTTAAAAATTGCTTCACCACGTATATGTTTTTTTAATATATAATATAATATTTGTGGGCTAATATATCTGAAAAGCATGATCGAAGAAAACTGAGCTTTGATAATAAAGGATGTGAGGAAACTATAAGGTAATTTCAATCTTGCAGGTAAGTATATACTTTTATTTTGAAAAAATTGTTAAATTTAGTTCATAAATATTATTGTATGAAATAATAAAATTATATATATTATTTTTTTAAAATATATTAAAATTTAGATCTTAATTTTAAAATTCTAGATCCATCATTGATTTCAACTACGAAAATGTAATATGCATCAAAACTTGACATGCATTTTGATTTCGATCGAACATACTCTCACCTACCTTTTCGACTCAGCAAATATGTTTATTATTAATAACATATGACTACATAAAGAAAAAGCGATAGACTCTCACGACTTGATCATATTAGATCATGTCATTATAATAAGGAAACAAAAGCATTAATTATTCGACTATCCAAGATCAAATCAATTAGGTCTCTCCATCTCACTTAAGCTCTACACCGTATCATCCTGTCACGGTCAAATTGAACATTAAAAAAATCTCTCCGTCTATAACGCTTGCCAACAAGCGATGATCACTAACCAATCCTACTTAACATGGATTTTAAGCATTGACACAACGTAAGTTCATCTGCAACACTTAAGCTGTCAACAAGGATACCCTCACCTACCTGATAGACATCTTCTTCTTGATGAAGCTCGACACTGCTATTGCAACGTCACAGCTTGAGACATCCAATGTATTAACTTAATCGGTGCTAAATATATCATCTTTTTAATATCAAACAGACGAAAGCAAAACACCCTAATCAAAGTGGTACCTTTTTTTTCCTTGATAAAGACACCCTAAATCAAAGTGATACTTGCGAATATTTGGGAACAAAGAACCTCGCCTTCAGCAGGTGGTACGGTACCTGCCACACCTACATGCTCCTTAATGCACGTCAATCATGTCATTCACCGATCGTTCAACATAAAAACTTGTGTAAATTGACCTTCAAGGACTTTGTCTTAATTAGTCTATTAGTTCCTCATTTGTTTGAATTCGAATCTATTAAAATTTAATTATCATTCGATTTGAATTAATTCGAGACAAACTTAAGATCGAATTAAGAATTTAACGAGTTGAGTAAATCCAACTAAAAAATATTCATAGTATCGGCTGTCAGGATAAGATCCGAAAGTATGGCCACTGAGAAACCAACCCTCCTGAATCCAAACTTTCTTCATTACTTGGGAAGAAAACTGGGTTGAACCCTTTATTATATCCAGTTGACTTGGAAAGAAAACTGGGTTAGGGTCATTTTCATTACTTTATTGTCCATTACTTTTGAAAATGCTGATGGATTCTTCATTATATTGAGAATGTGTGTTTGGATTTTGGTTACAGGTGGGGTTGTCCTCCTAGTAAGTTTCCATGGACATAGTTCAAAAGAGACATGTTATCTGTTGGAAGGGAAAGTAAAGGTGTACCCTAAGGGATGAGTTGCACTTGGGAAGTTTCTGTGGCTGTTGACAAAACTGTAAATTTGGTTGACTGCTTTCTTTTCCCCACTTTTCTCCCTTGTTATTATGAAATCAATATAAATGCTTGGTGTGATGTAACCTACCTATACTGTTTAAGTTTGGTGATTGGTATCCCAGTGCTTTGAGCTTAATATACCTTTATTTTATACTGAGACCATTTGATTTCTTAGTTAACTTATCAAATATGCGCTTATTCCATGATATATGCGTCTATATTTCTTATCTGCAATGGAGAATCTATGCCTAATTTGTCCACTTCAAAATTCAAATTTTCTTAGATTGATAATCTATTTTAGTAAAGGTAACAGTCATGGATCAATACTCATAAAAGTAATGCTCTAGGAACAAACAAAAGCACCATTGTAGGAAAAGTACGAGTACAAAAGCATTAGACGCAAGCCAATATTCTCATCAAATTATAAAGCAGGAACTAAATAAGGAGCACGTAGTTAATCTATATAGAGGCCTTACATGATAAATAAAAATCCTAAGAAAACTAAAAAAATATCTTATTACTCAAAATAAAAATAAAACTGAACTCTAAAAAAGAAATATAATAAAGTTGATAAACATTCAAATATAATAAAACTCTTAAACAATATATTCTAAATCGTCCAAAATAAGTATAGAGGTTCATTCTAGGGTCTTAACTTGGATTGTGAGCTTAGAACTTGAAAGGGGTGATGGTTACGAGATGGTTTCTAGGTTAACTGATTGTTACTTGTGCGGTGATGATACAAGAGTGCTGGGCTATATTGTGAGATATGGGTAAATTTGTGCTGAAAAATTATTTTTCCTGTGTATTGCGTTTAAGGTTTTATTTTCTCAATTTGGGAGACATTTATAATTAAGGGTGGATGTATTTAAATGGGATGAGGAGTAATTGCATACCCATTATTTAAAAAAAAATTAGTATAATGTAGTAGAAAAAAAATAAGAAATTTTATATATTAATTTTTTTAAAAATGAATAAGTATTAAATTTTAGACTCGTTTTTTTTTAATTTCTAGATCTTCTATTGTTTATAATGTTCGGAAAATATGTCAGGATTACATGACTTTTTTTATGTAAAAAATTCGGACGATATGGCGTTTTCCTAAGCTCCATGCATGACTCTACATAGTCGGTGGACATAAAAATGGAGCTGGTCGGAGACCCGAGTCGCTTATATGAATCAAACGAAGATAGTGAACTCGCCGACTTTTTTGAGGAGCTAATGTGGGTGCCATTGATAGAGCTTTGAAAGACGAAGAAGACAAACATGAGAGCTAATACGGGAAGCCGATCATATATTTTCCAAAAGACGTCAGTGGATTGACACAGTAACATTCACCTTATTTGAAAATAATAGTTTTTTTGAATACATTTAATTTTTTTACTTCCATGTTTTATCAATTTAAAATTATGATTAAATTTATAGAATATACAAGTAATAAATATCAAATGTATAATTATGTCGATTTTCTGTTAACTGTCACTCACCCTATCAATTACGGTTTAACGACAAAAGACATAATTAATATTATTTGAATAATTAAATGGCCTAATTATAAAATATTGATCGACGATTAAAATATAATCGCTCATAATTGAATGATCATTCATGTATTTTTCCCAAAACAAACTTGAAAATTAGAAATTTGTTGAATTGACTGCAATGTTAAAAAAACCAAATAATAGAACTTGCTCAGACTACATGATAAATTTTATAAAAAGAAAAAAACTTATTTTCCATTTGAACTCGTATGGGGTATGCAACAAATTCCTCTTGTATTATTATAAAAAAAAAACAAATTCATCTTGTACAATTAAAAAATGTCCTCAAATCTTTAAATAAATTTGAATGTGCCGTATTTTCTTTAATTTTTTTCTCATTTGTATGATTTTCTTAAAGATAAGCTTACGGTTTTTGCATCAACTTATTTCGTATCAGTATAACAAACTCGATCAAAACAAACTGTAATGGTATGCATATATATATATATATATCATTATATATATTTGAGTGGCAGAGAAAATAATTTAGAGAAATTTCGTGAAGGAATAATAAATTACAAAATCTATTAATGTATGATATATATTATCCAGGGATGAACGTGGAGAGTCCATATCCTCTTCTTGCATCTCTTTCATGGCAATCATCCACGTATTCCATTTCCCAGTTTCAACCGTAGGATATATATATATTTCCATTTCCAAAAATCAAATGAATATAAACTAGTTGACACTTTCCAGAGAATCTGCATTATATGTTTGCTACGCAACAATGGCCGTCCACAATCTAAGCACAGGAACATATATTCATTTGAAAACCCAATTCCCTTTAGTCCTAAATTAAAGGCTTTTAGTGTTCTTAATAAACCCAGAAAAGTTCCCTTCTTAGTTCCATCAATGGGTTCTTCTGCTTCTTCCCAAAGACCCGACAACGTTCAAGGTATTCTCTTTTGTTTGCATATTATCAGAATTTCGGTTAATTCCTGCCTTTGAATATTTTCTTGAGGGAAAAAAATCTGAATTGAATTTGGTGCTTCAGATATTGATGGTCCATCCGGTACAGAGGCTGCTGCAGTTGACTATGGTTCTGTAAGTAACGGGGAATGAAGAAAGAGGCTTACACCTGAACAATTTTATATTACTCGACAAAAGGAACCGAAAGAGCTTTCACTGGGTATGTTCTGTCTGTTCATAGAACATTTTCTGCTTTTCAGGTAACACTTCTTCATGATTATTTTCGATGTTATCTTCATGGATGATTATGTGCAGGGAATACTGGAACACCAAAACATTTGGAACTTATTGGATCATAAACTTGATCCATTATGGGAGCCTAAACCCAAACCCAAACTAAATTGATGTCATTACTTACATCATTTAATTAAAGATGTCATTGCTTACATCATTTAATTAATGATGTCATTGTTTACAATTTAGTTAGGTGAGAGTTAGATATTTGTTGAATTTGTAATGGTTTAAATTAGTTATTTGTGTGGTGTAGGATTGTTCTTGAGTAGTATAAATACCCCTTCCATTTTAGTTTTAAAGCATCAAAAAAAATTAAGAGCTTCTAAGTGAGTGAAGAAACAAGTCTATAAGAGTGAGATTGTAGTTCTTGTTTTTGAGTGAGAGTACTCTTGTAATATTTGTTTGAGTTTCAATTAAAGTTGTTTGTGTGAGTGTTTTATTTCCAACAAAGTGTATCAGAGCGAGTTGGAAAGATCGAAGGTCTCGACGAGAGGAACACGACGCCGCCAGAATTTTCTCAATCTGAGTTCTGACGCACCGCCACGCACCGCCGGAAGACTACTGCCAGAAATCGAGTTGACTCACCGGTTGAGCCGAGTCAGCCGAGTTGGAGCCCTTGACCGAGTTGTCCAAGTCCCTCCAAAGTTTTTTTTCATCGTTCCGGATTCATCCGTGCAATCGGATTTTACAAAATCTCATTATATTGAGAGATATGGCAAATGGTATGGCACCATTCCAAGTTCCGACACTCAACAACAACAACTACGACAATTGGAGTATCAAAATGAAGGCACTTCTTGGTCACAAGATGTGTGGGATATCATAGAGAAGGCTATAACGAGCATGCGGATGATGATGCTTTTGCTACTCTTACACCAGATCAAAAGAACTTTGAAGGATTCAAGAAAGAGAGACAAGAAGGCTCTCTACCTCATCTCAAGCATTAGATGATGATGGTTTTGAAAAGATTCAAGTGCAAGCTCTAGCAAGGAAGCGTGGGAGAAGCTGCAAACCTCTTACAAAGGATCCGAGCAAGTGAAGAAGGTTCGTCTCCAAACATTAAGAGGTGAATTCGAATCCTTAAACATGAAGATCTGAGTCTATTTCAGATTATTTCTCAAGAGTAGCTGTTTCTAATCAATTAAAAAGAAATGGTGAAAAGTTAGACGATGTGAGGATAATAGAGAAGATACTCCGTTCGTTGGATCCAATTTGAGCACGTCGTCGTGACGATTGAAGAAACTAAAGACTTGGAAGAAATGAAGATCGAAGCTCCAAGGATCATTGCAAGCATACGAAGAGAAGCATAAAAAGAAGCATGAGTTACTGAGCAACTCCTCAAGTTGCAACTCAAGGATATGCATGAGAGCCAACGCAATGATAGAAACCAACGTGGCCAAGGCAGAGGTAGAGGCCATGGACGAGGTGGAAGTCGAGGTCGTGGACGAGGCTGGAATTACAACAATAACAATTCCAAAAACAACTATGAGAAAGGAGAAAGCTCAACACGGCCGTGGAAGAATTAATCCAAACTCAAAGTATGACAAATCTCAATTCGATGTTATAATTGTCAAAAATTTGGGCATTATGCTTCAGAATGTAGAGCTCCCACAACAAAATTGAGGAGAAGGCCAATTACGTGGAGGAAAAGACAGATGGCAAAGAAACTCTTCTTCTAGCACGAAAGGAAACTGATGGTGGCCAAGCAAATTCCTGGTATCTGACAGTGGTGAAAACAATCACATGTGTGGAAGGAAAGACATGTTTGTGGAGCTAGACGAGTTAGTAAGTGGAAATGTTTCGTTTGGAGATGATTCACAATAGCAGTGAAAGGGAGAGGTAACATTCTTATCCGTTTGAAAGATGGGAGACATCAATTTATTTCAAATGTCTACTATGTGCCCAATATGAAAAGTAACATTTTAAGTTTAGGGCAATGGTAGAGAAAGGTTATGATATTCATATGAATAATTATAATTTCTATAAAAGATGATAAGAATAACTTCATTGCTAAAGTGCCGATGTCAAAGAATAGAATGTTCTTGATCACATACAAAATGATGTTGCAAGTGCCTGAAAGCTTGCTACAAAGATGCATCATGGCTTTGGCATCTCGATTTGGGCATCTCAATTTTGGAGGTCTAGAGCTATTATCTAGAAGGAGATGGTGAAAGGACTACCTCACATCAACCATCCTGACCAACTCTGTGAAGGGTGTCCTATCGGAAACAATCAGGAAAAGCTTTCCAAAGGAGTCAGAGACAAGAGCTAAGAAGCCACTCGAGCTCATCCATACCGATGTGTGTGGACTGATCAAGCCAAGCTCTCTCTGTAACAATAACTATTTTCTTCTTCATTGATGATTTTTCAAGAAAAATCTGGGTATATTTCTTGAAACAGAAGTCAGAAGTTTTTGAAGTCTTCAAGAAGTTCAAAGCAGCAGTGGGAGAGAGAAAGCGGTAGAAAGATCAAAGCCATGAGATCCGATCGAGGTGGAGAATTTACTTCCAGAGAGTTTCAAGAGTTTTGTGAAGCAAATGGAATTCGTCGACCATGACAGTTCTAGATCCCCCCAGCAAAATGGTGTGGCAGAAAGAAAGAATAGAACAATCCTCGACATGGCACGAAGCATGCTCAAAAGCAAGAAATTACCCAAAGAATTTGGGCGGAAGCAGTATCGTGTGCAGTCTACTTTGTCAAATCGATCTCCACAAGAAGTGTATGGGGAAAGACACCGCAAGAGGCATGGAGTGGAAGAAAGCCTGGCATTTCCCACTTGAGAACCTTTGGAAGTATAGCACATGTTCACGTACCAGACGAGAAGAACGAAGCTTGATGATAAAAGGAGAGTTTATCTTCATCGGCTATGATGCTAATTCGAAGGGCTACAAATTGTACAATCCAGACAATAAGAAGTTTGTGATTAGTCGAGATGTGGTCTTCAACGAAGAAGGAGAATGGGATTTAACTCTCATACAGATGACTTCAATTTCTTTCCTCAGTTGAAGAAGATGAGAGACAATGAGGGAGCAACTAGATGAATCTCAACAAGAGCTTGCAACTCCACCCACTTCACCAACATCAACCACTCAAGGAGACTCATCACCTTCATCATCGTCAAGGGGAGTCAAAGTGAAAGAGTTGTGCAACGCACAAGAAGCCTTAGAGATCTCTATGAGGTAACTGAACGACAAGATAATCTTACATTATTTTGTTGTTTGCCGATTGTGAACCAGTGAGCTTTCAAGAAGCGGTACAAGAAAAGAAATGGAGAGATGCGATGGACGAAGAAATCAAGGCCATCGAGAAGAATGACACATGGGAACTTACCTCACTTCCCAAGGGACATAAGGCGATAGGTGTCAAGGGTGTACAAAACAAAGCAAAACGCCAAAGGAGAGATTGAAAGGCACAAGGCGAGGCTAGTTGCTAAAGGCTATAGTCAAAAGGCTTGGAATTGACTATGATGAGGTATTTGCTCCTGTTGCTCGATTGGAGACTATCAGACTAATCATTTCTTTGGCAGCTCAAAACAAGTGGAAGATACAACAGATGGATGTAAAGTCCGCCTTCCTAATGGAGTTCTTGAAGAGGAACTTTACATTCAGCAACCATCAGGTATGAAGTCAAAGGGCATGAAGACAAGGTGTTGAAGTTGAAGAAGGCTCTTTACGGGCTAAAACAAGCACCAAGGGCATGGAATAGCCGAATCGACAAGTACTTCCAAGAGAATGGCTTCAACAAAGTCCCTACGAGCATGCTCTATATATCAAGATCAAAGATGAAGATATTTTGATCGTGTGCCTCTACGTGGACGATTTGATCTTCACTGGAAGCAACCCAAGCATGTTTAATGAATTCAAGGATGTGATGATGAAAAGAATTCGAGATGATAGACATGGGGCTCATGGCGTACTACCTTGGCATTGAAGTTAAGCAACAAAATGATGGAATTTCATTTCATAGGAAGCTATGCAAAGGAGATACTGAAGAAGTTCAAGATGGAGAACTGTAAGCCAATAAGCACCGGCAGAATACGGGATCAAGATGACCAAACATGAAGAAGGCGAAAGTGTAGATCCAACATTCTCAAAAGTTTGGTAGGAAGTCTACGCTATCTAACTTGCACGAGACCCGATATTCTTCACGCAGTTGGATTGGTTAGTCGCTACATGGAATCCCCAAAACCACCATTTAAAGCCGCAAAGAGAATCTTCGCTATCTGAAAGGTACAATGACTTTGGCTTGTTCTATTCAGTTTCTAAGATTACAAGCTTGTTGGATATAGCGACAGTGATTGGGGTGGAGACATAGATAATCGAAGGAGCACTACTGGATTCGTATTTTCATGGGATATTGCATTCATGGATGTCAAAGAAACAACCGATTGTCACATTATCCACTTGTGAACGGATATGTGCTGCTACCTCATGTGTTTGTCATGCAATTTGTCTTAGAAATCTATTGAAGGAGATTGGTTTGATACAAGAAGAGCCTACCAAGGTTTGTGTCGACAACAAGTCAGCCATTGCCTTAGCGAAGAATCCAGTATTCCATGATCGAAGCAAGCACATTGATATTCGCTACCACTATATAAGGGAGTGTGTTGCAAGAAAAGATGTGGAAGTGAATATGTGAAGTCACAAGATCAAGTTGCTGATATTTTACAAGCCACTGACCAGCGAAGACTTCTTAAGATTAAGGAACCTACTAGGGGTCACGAGATCAAGTTTAAGGAGGGTGTTGGATCTAAACTTGATCCATTATGGGAGCCTAAACCCAAACCCAAACTAATGATGTATTACTTACATCATTTAATTAAGATGTCATTGCTTACCATCATTTAATTAATGATGTCATTGCTTACATCAATTTAGTTAGGTGAGAGTTAGATATTTGTGAATTTGTAATGGTTTAAATTAGTTTATTTGTGTGGTGTAGGATTGTTCTTGAGTAGTATAAATACCCTTCCCATTTTAGTTTTAAGCATCAAGAAAATTAAGAGCTTCTAAGTGAGGAAGAAGAAACAAAGTCTTATAAGAGTGAGTTGTAGTTCTTGTTTTTGAGTGAGAGTACTCTTGTAATATTTGTTTGAGTTTCAATTAAAGTTGTTTGTGTGAGTGTTTTATTTCCAACACTTATCACTGCATATGTTGTGATACACCTCTTTTCGAGTAAGTTTTCTGGATTTTCTTTTCAGATTTACTGGGGAATTATCAATTGAACCTATGGCACCGTGATGCTCAACATCCAGATCATCGACAAAGTTGATAGTGGACCGGCTGGCCGTCGTATTATGAACCTGTAGGAAATAATGTGCAATCAAGTTAGATCTGTCGATAATTTTATGCCTCGAGAAGAAGTTGTTTGTGCTACTTGCAGTGCTCATCTTGGCCATGTCTTTGATGATGGTCCTCCACCTACGGGGAAAGCGACACTGCATCAATAGGTAAACACAGTTGCTTTGAATTTCAGGTTCCACCTAGGGTTTTCAGCTTTAACAATGGTTGTTTTGCAGTGCTTCCCTGAGACTGAAACCCCAGTAAAAGCTTGGAGTTGCGATTGAGAGCAGAAGAGACACTTGTGGTTCACAAAACTCGATTACTGTTGGTTTGATTGGCTTTGGGTATATCATTTTGAGGTAATAAATGGCAGATGGATCATAATCTGCAACGAGTTATGAAAATCCTTTAAAAGAACATAGAAAATCACTTAGATATTGTGTTGAAAACAAAATTATTGTTGGAATAGAGTATTTTATTATAGTATTTTGACAGACATTTGAATCATCGACTTCTTTCGGAAAGATGTTGGATCATCGGATCTTTAGATAGATGTTTGGATCATTCGGCATCTTCTGTTTTATTATTTGTTAGATATAAGGTTCCAAATGTATGTAGTATGGGAAGATGCGTCTTTCCGACGTCTTTCTAAAGACAAATGATTTGAGCGTCTTTCTCTCCATTACCATGATAAGCCTTTATTTTTTATTAGAAAATATTCTCGCTTAAGAAAATAAGATTTGAACATAATATTATATTAATATACGCCATCTATTATGGTAAAAGTTTTAAATAAATATTTGTTGATGGAATAAAGTGGATACTCTTGTATGTCGCGTGTTATTTTTTAAAGTTTAGGTGGATAATTGTTATAGGTGGTTAAACGATCATTAGTTAATGTCAATATTTTATTCTTTTATTAGATGTTTTATAGTGATTCTTATTGGTAGAGTCAGAAATATGATGATGGCGTAGATTGACACACTTAATTAATGTAGTAAGGTGTCAATTGTTTTAGACTCTGATAAATCATGTAACTCTATTAGAAATTATATCAAAGGATCGTGACTTTTCGAGAAGTATAAGTCGTCTGAGATCTTTTTTTTAAAGATGTTCTTATGTAATAGAATATGAGATTATTTTAAATTAAAACTAAGATTAAATTGATATAACTTTAAAATATTAATGATTTAATAAATTATTTTGAATTAGGATTAAATTAATATAATTTAACGGCGAACGATCAAAGCAAAAACGAAACATATCTATAAGTGTGATTTTAAAAATAAGTAATTGGATTACTAAAATAGAAATATGAAATTAGATAAGTGACCAAATAGGTAGTTTAGCCATATATAATTGGTATGATTGAAATAAGGGATATGTAATGGAACAAAGAGGTTGGTCCCATAGCCATAGATAGATAGAGTAAGAGGGCGACCAGGTAAAACCAAATATCATTGCCTTCAATTTACACGGATAATATTTTAACAAAAAAAGATTCGATCTATCCAATCCAACGGCTGTAAAGTAGGGTGAAGTAATTACAGAGAAAGGGACCCACCATTCTCAAAAAAAAAAATGAGGCCTGTCACCCTATAACTGACTAATCGTATCACAGACCCTTTTTATTTCTCTTGTTCCATCTTTATATTTTATTGGCTTAAATGCAACATTGGCCCCTAAAGTATACCTTTTTTTACTGAGTTGCTCCTAAAGTGTTTTTTTTAAAAATATTTTATCCCCTTAACTTTAAATCGTTATCTTATTTACCCCATTTTTATTAACTCCGTTAAAAAAATCATGGACTAATGAAAACATGCCACATCACCATTTTCCAGAATTTGTTTTTTCTCATTAAAATAAATGGTGATGTGGCGTGTTTTGATTGATCACTGAGATTTTTTTTAATGAGTTAACGAAATGGGACAAACGGGATAACGATTTAAAGTAAAGGGGACAAAATATCCTGAAAAATACTTTAGGGGATAACTCAATAAAAATGGTATAATTTAGAGGCAAATGGTGCATTTAAACCTATTTATTTCTTATGGGTAAATTATACGGATGGTCCCTTGTATTTTTCGATCGGATCGATTTTTGTCACCAGTTCAAAGAAAAAGGTTTTAATCCATTACATTATCGGTTCAAAGAAAAATATTTTAATCCCTTACATTATCGGTTTGTTTGATTTATCTCTCTCGATCGTTAACTTTCGTTAACCCATTAATATAAATCTGACTTGGAAATTAGAAAATAAAAAAACCAAGTGTCATTCTTCTTTTTCTTCTTCTTTCCCTTCTCGTCTCAAAAAAGCATATGCACCAAAAGGAACTGCAAAGAATGAAAGATTTTGTCGTCATCCATGACAGTTCTCCCATTCCCAACTCTCGAACACCGCCTAATCTCTGTCACTGCCATCGTTTTTCATTTAACAAAATCAACTCATCTTTTCGCAAGCTTTCTCATTCCGAAAAACAACGCCAACCCATCTCTTTTTCAGTCCCCACCGCCCATTCTCATTAACAACCTTACCATTCCCTCTTCTCCACCATCCTATGGAACCTCTCTTCTCCTCGAGACTTCCCGCTCAAGTACTACGCGGACCTCACTCGAAGCTGGAAGAGGATGGTCGTCTCGACTCTCGAGGATTTTGCAATGACGTCAGAGACATTTAACTATCGAGGATGATCGATCTTCTTCCTCACCACTCGATGTTGGCCCATAACATGTCCCCATTTGGCTTCACCAACAATCTTATTCTAACGCCATTAATTAATATTGAAGTTGATTCATTAACATGTGTGTGTCTCTAATATTCTATGCATAAAGAAATAAGTAGAACTCGGCTGAATCATCTTGTTTCCTTTCGAAGACGACGATAACAAACCAGGCTTGAATATAAACAAGGCATGCTTTGACCAACGAATTAAAAGCCAGCCATGAACATCTTAGTAAACTTCAACTCGTCTTGTTTACTTGAAAGGATTCATTTCCCTGAACTTCCATTGAAGATGCTTCACATGAAGAACCAATTGGTTATCGATTCTATCTTCATTTCGGGCTCAACCCTGTTGTCGATCTTGTTCTTATACTCGATCGAGATCTCATGAAACATACTTTTCTCATAAGTTTGATCCTCGAGCTGGATCTCTTTCTCCAGATACATGCTCTTTTCTTAAAACTGTAGGCCTGCAACCAGTTACGGATAAGTGTATTTCTTTAGATCCTAACGAACAAAACGACATCTTTATCATAAACGATAACAATGTAGTACTCGTAACTGGGTTCGATTTTGCCATTGAATTGGGATGCTTTAAGGTCCCAGAAGACATTTACAACTTTATTCATCGCCATCGATGATTAAGTGTCTGGAGCCTTGTTTTCTCCAAAAATACCATGGTTTGAGCTCGATTTTGCAGGTGTATTGATTCTCTCCTTCGGGACTAGAGATTGATACTTATAGGCCATTAAGCAACAGATTATTGCACCAAGTGACGGTAATCAAATGGCACTGGTCGGCGATCTTCGGCCGAAAAACTGACATGAAAACACTCTGCCTGACCTGGTTACTGCTGTTGAATCACAAGCAGAGCAGGAACCCACCCGACAAGCTCTTCTTACATGATTGCTTGCAAGAGAAAGTACATCCAATAATACATGGAAGAAACTGAGAAAAATTAGAAGAGAATTTGGGGACATTAATGGACTATGGAAGTGATTGAATGAGTAAAGAACGAATCTTTTATATTGATTTTTTCCACTTTTTTCTTACTTTGGATCTTCAGTTCCATGCTCGGTGAGAAGTGAAGAAATTCAAATTTTAACCACATTTGGAGTATAGAAGAAGAAGACGTGGATTAAAAATAAATTTAGATTTTCAAAATTTATTTAAACTAATATACTCGGGTTGTGATAAAAAATAATAACAAATGAAATATTAAGTATTTTCTTAATATAATTAGACCAAACAGTAACAAGGTTTTCTAAAGCGTTTGATGATTACTAAATGAAAATAATAAAAGCTTATTGAACTAGACAGATAGTCAAATACCCTAAAATCCTACCCAACGCATGTTTCAGCGCGTGATTCGCCCTCGAAAGCCAGAAAAAGACCCATTCAACCCCAACAGTGAAAAACAGAGATCCCAAATCTAAAAAAAACACAAAGCAGTCATAAAATTGAAAAAAAAAGAAGAAGAAGCATTATACGTAAATTCTCCTGTACAAAAATTCCGAAAAGAAAAGCGTTATGCTTAGAACAAGTATTGCCAGATCTCTCATCTAGTTTTCAATGATTTCGATCTGTTGCTGCTGCTGATGCTTCCTCCATTTGCACTCTTTTGCTGGGAAGAAGATGAAAAGAACCCAAAAACCGACCCGGATTTCGACGATCCTCTCAGGGGACGACATTAAGAACTGGAGCCACTCTAACATTAGCCGAATACGACCTTTCCATAACCCCTCGCTGTTTGAACCTTGAACCGCCATTGAAACTACTCGGACTGCTTGAACTTCTTTCCAGGCTTTGGAACATGATTTTCCCAGAAGAGTTCATTCTGGGACTATCACTCCTTTGAGTTCCACTACTTGCATCTGCCGTTTGATCGTTGGTATCGGATCCTGACCCAGCTTTGGGCTTAATTATCCTCATTCTACGAGAGGCAAAAGGGTTGGGACTTGGGTTGTTGTTGAAACTCGGCTTCTCGGAATCAAGTGATAGCCTTGGGAGATCTTCGTGTTCATGGCTTGAAGATGAAGAAAAAACGATAACCTTGATGATGAAGCTACAGGTAACGGCTCATGGTTATCTGAGTCTTTCAACAAGGGAAGATTCATGAAGAGTCGGTCGTTGAGGTTGATGATGGTTTGGAGTTTCTGTTAAAAAATGCTTGAGAGATTTCGGGGTTGAGAGTTGGGAGGTTGATTATTACTGTTTTGAGAAGAAGATTTTTTAAGACCAGAAATTCCCTCCACTACTTGAACTCTTTGTAGCTTTGCCGGAAACCTCCGTTTCTACTTGTCGGCGGCGAGATTTGGGTGTTTCTTGAGACGAAACGTTCACAGGGGATTGCTTCAGCGTTGAGAAAAGGGAGGAGCTTACCATCTGAAAAAAGCTCATCAGCTGGAAGCATGGTGACGGGTCTTCTTCAAGCCTGAACTCAAAGTCACCGGCAGCCGTCGCTTGATTCTCAGGCGGATCATTAAATAACCGCGTGAAGAATAAGTCGGTGTAGGCTGGAAATTACTCTCTGACGGCGAGACGCTGATGTTGTTAACACAAGCAGAAGGCATGAAAATGTAAAATAAAGGGAATGAGTTGAAATAGAAAAAAGATTTTGTTTGAACTTGAAGCAGCTAAGAGGTTTTGTTTTGGATTCGGTTTGACTTGGATTTATTAAGACTCTAGGGTTCGTGAGGAAAAATAGGATCTGTCAGTGGATAACTTCCAAAAGGAGGCTCATCTATTTCATATTTAATAATATAAAAGTAAGTAATTATTAAATTCAGGGGTAAATGTTTTAGATGGTCATTCAGTTTAAGACAATTTTACTTTAGTATAATTTCAATTTAGTCACTATTTTCCTGGAGCTCTAATTAATCCGGACCGACCTATATCACACACCTGATTTTGATGGTTAATCTCTCCACGAAGATTTTTGCATACTCAAAACCTCGAATTCGAAATCAATCAAATGTTTGATCCCTAGCAATGTGAGTGGTAAACTATCCAATTAATTATTTAACTTATAGGCTTATTCATGTTGATCTTAATTTTTTGTTTAGTCTTTTAATTTTAAATCCCTTAACAGATATTGACATAATCATTAACAAAAATAAAGCGTACTTTAATTTATTATAATAAAATTCACTTTATCAATCTTCGACCTTTCTATTGCCTCATCCAGCCCGCATGATCATATCCAACTTCGTACACTGCCCATTTTATCAACTATTGATACAATAATGAAGTTCAAGCCAAATCATGAAGATGTAATGATAGGGATAAACTTCATCGTCGAGAGGGAAACAATCCGAATCACCAATTAAGATTATAGGAAAGTTTTATCATGCGACAACTTTAATATAAGGATAAGGAAATACGTTATTGATTTTGTTATTATTTTTTTTTAATAAAATCGATAAAAATTAACTAAACATTATTATTTCTACCTAAAATATTAATATTTTTTAACATTTCTGGTAAAGTGTCCAATAATAACAAAATCGGTAGAAAAAATAAAATCGATAGCGCTTTACCGGATATGTTAACAAAATAGGTAAACGCCTAATATACAAAAATCGTAGAAATAACAAAATCGTAGAAATAATAATGTTTCCGATAATCTTTAACCGATTTTATTAAAATAATAATAATAATAAAACTGATAACGTTTTTCTTTAAACGTATATTAAGACACTTTTCCATCGTAAAGGAGGTAGGGATGCATAGACAATCAGAATGTTTACCTAGAAGCAATCACTATTGAAAGAGTACATAATAATCCACTGATCCCGTGTTCCTACGCCACAAATGAATAGAACAAAACGATAAGATAAATTTACAAAAATAATAACTCATTATTCAAAGACTTGCATGTTAGAATGTATATGGCTTGAGATTCAAATATTAACACTCTCAAAATAATATATAAGCACAAGAAAAAATATAAAACTAAAAAAACCAACCAAATCAAGTAACAAATTGTAGGTCAGAACGATTTTTAAGTTCAGAATATTTACGACTTTATAAAAATTCAATTTAGAATCACTATCGACCTTTTGATTTAGGTAAGGTCGAACACATAAAAATCATCTTTTTAAAAAAATTAAAAACTTTATAAATACAAACAAGCCTATGTTTTACTAAAAAATCATTTTGAATGATTCAAGAGCTGATTACGTGTAAGAAAGATTAACACGCCAACATGCCGAAATTAGTACTAATATGTTGTTTTAATAATAGAATCTACCAGTTCGAGTTTAAATTTAAGTGTGATCTTTTATTAAGGTTGATTTATTCAAATTAGTGAATTTAAAAAAATCATTCAAATTTAGAGAGGAGAGAATGTCTTTACTTGGAAAAGTTAACGAGAGTCGTGTTTCAGCAATCTAGAAGCCTATCACATCGACATTCTAAATGAAACAATTTGCCTTTTGTTTTGTAAAAACTAAACCGATGCAAATATGAATGCACTGAAATATCATTGAACAACTAAAGTGTGGATGTTGATATCAGAAAGTAACAGTATAATCATAATTAAAACAATTCATTTTTTATAAATTTAAATACTAGATCATTCGAATAATCAATCATACTTTAATAATTTAGAATACTTTTCCACCAACTAATCCATCAACATATATCATTATTAAATAGTTATAAAATTTATGGATATACATTTATTTAAAATAATAACATTTATTCAAAATATACCTCTCGTTTGAATGATCGTAACGAAAATGTGCTTCAGTTATTTAGAAAGTTTTCCACGATTTATTCTCACAATAAATTACCATTTAAAAGATATACGATACAATTCATTTTAAAGAAAACAATATAAAAAACATAAGAAAAATACAGATTTATCTTTGAAATAATAATATTAACTAATCTGATTAATTTAATCTTTTTTTAATTAACTGAAGTTCAAGATTTGGGTGAGGGTTTGAAAGTTTGCAACGGTTAGAAGAAAGAAACTTCTCAAAAATAATTTTTTGAGAATGCTTTTCAAGAGTAATGTTAAACGAGATTTTTTATATTTTTGTTCATTTAGATATAATATGGATATTTGATTATTAGGGTCGAATTAATTACAATATGGCCATTATATTAACGTCTAATACGAAAATAAGGAGGGCCATGGATATCACATCTGAGAAGGGTTTGAATCTAGGTCGGGATTATGTCCACGAGTATTGGGAATGGGGGAGCTTCGAGCTTTACGATAAAGGTGAGATAATACCATGGTTTAAACTCATATAATATAAGATGAGATAATATGAACATCTTTGATGACTCATTCAATTAATAGATCTTATTATGAGATATTTTAATGGTATAGATATTTATGAGTTTGATTTAAAATATATTTAATAATTAGTTAATGAGTTGTTTAATTTAAATGGTTAATAGATATCAATTTTTTAAAAGATATTTAATTATGAAAAATAACCTCAGTGACCAAAAATCCTAGATAATATACGATTTTGATCAACTTTTTTTGGATTTGCAAAAATGACCAACAAAATCGCAATGCGATCTCTAATTCGCATTGCGATCTCCACTATCGCAAATTCGCGTTGCGATAGTTGAAATCGCGTTGTGATTTTTCATTTCGCGTTGCGATTTTTCATTTCGCGTTGCGATAGTCTACAGTTGTTGTTGCGATTTTCCAATTCGTTGCGAAAATTCTTTGTGATAGTTAAAAAAAATTTGTTTCTCTAAAAAGATAGTATCCGCGCGGACGTGTCGAATACACTATTACCATGATCATGACCACGACCTGAGACGGACGGCGGCGGCGGCGGCGCGCGAGAGTCCCCCTTGTTCTCTATCACTCAACAGTAAGTAGAAAGGCAAGCCTTAAATATCATTCCCAATAGTGTTTCCATACTATGGGATTGAGCATACCACACTTATTTCCATACAATGTGATTATTCAGGAAACAATTAACAATCATGCACCTTAAACAACTGAATTAGCAACCAATTGTATTAGTATTATACGATTAAATATGTCATAATTAAAAATCAATCTATAATCAATCGCGATTATTGTAATTTTAAGCAAAACATTCAAAATATATCACTATTTAAGGCTCATCCCACATAGTATTGGGAACAAGTGTTGGTAATGCAAATCCACATAGTATTAAAAACACTAATGGGATAGATGAGTTTGATATATATTTAATAAGTTAATTGATGGTTAATAGATAATCAAATTTTTAAAAGATATTTAATTATTCATATATAAAATATCGATGATTGATTGATTAAACGAACTAATTTGATATAATCGATTAATTTAATTTTAACTGAATAATAAAAACCGGGTTAGCCCAAACTCGAGCATTTTGGAATGGATGATAACCATTGCAGATTTCAATAAAACCGGGCTGTGGTGGTAGTGGCCTGGCCTCCAACCCTAAACGCAGGAAATCTCGAAAAGCCGTGAAAGTGAGAATTGAGGAATGACGAAGTATTCATGCGATACTGCATCTGAAACCTTGGAATGGATTAAAGCCATTGCAGATTTCATTAAGCCTTTCTCTTTCTTAATCAATGCTTACGTTGTCAATTTCTTCAAGGTTTGTTAAAATCTAAAATTAATTCCTTCTCCTTCTCCTTTAATATCTGTATTTATGTTATTCTATTTATTTCAGGATAGGCTATGGGAAGCTGTTGACGAAGACTGGCTTCAATGTCTTACTAACGAACCTGTTGAAAATCTTCTTCTTATTCCTTCTGGAGTTTTCCAAGTAAAACTATTTCTTTTTTTATGATTTCTGTTCATGATAGATTCGAATAATTAATGTTATCTATGTACTTTTAATGGTAGGATCATTGGCCTGCTTCGCTTAAGGAGTTCGTTCTTACTTTGAAATCTCTTGTTTATCCTCGAGAACAAGCTGACTTGAAAAAGGTTAGTTTCTCTTGGTATTTCTTTTTCAATTATTGTGAAAAAGGTTGATAGAACATAGGAATAAAAGAGATTAAAATGAAAAATCATGTTGATTTAGAAATGAGCAAATCAATAAATTGTAGCCCGCATAATTGTTGTTTATGAAAGTAGAATTTACGTTTTCTTGGAGTGCTGCAAATATGCCTTCAGTCCTTGGCTTTAGGAAGTATAAAAAAAAAGTAGCAAAATTAACCTGAAAATTCACTCATATTGACATTCATTTTCATGTTTGATCTCTCCTGCACTACTTATTAAACAAGATTATGTTTTCGTGTCTTCTTCTTCTTCCCTAGAAAAGCTTCAACCTTACTTCCTAGTTTTGTTTTACTAAGAAATATCTTTTTCCTTTTCTATCCATTTTTAAAATTTCATTTCGGAGTGCTTCTTATGCCCACCCCATTTATTAGTTCTCTTTTTCTTTTTTTCTTTTTCTTTTTCTCCAATAGAAGCTACCCGACTGAGGTCCACTTTCTCAAGTGAGTGTGTGGTAGGAGCTGTTTTTAAAGAAAATACTATAATGCTGGTTTGTTGTAGGTATTTCCCACTGGCGTACAACAGCACTGAATAGTGTTCTTGCTCAAGGGATGAATTTAAAGAAGAAACATGAGGTATCTATATTGCTCAATTTTGGAATTGCAGTCATCTCTTTTTCCATAAGCAATGATTTCTCTATGTGACATGTTCTGCACAAGAGCAGATAATATATGAGGTTACTTTATTTTTGTGGTGAACAGGTGGAAGTTTTATCTGCTATTGTTGGTTCTGTTGCAAGTTCTGTGAGAGCTGATGCAGTAATAGATGTTGGTGCTGGTCAGGTGTACATTCCTCTTTTGATTCTTCGCCTCCCGAAGTTTTTCCTTTTCTACTTTCTATTTGATGATGCTGAATTTGTGGTTGAGACCGTTTAATCGATGTTAATGGAATGGAATAAAAACTTGCCACAGCTCAGAATCTAGCAGCAAGTTGATGCAACCTAAAAGATTAATCAAAACTGATTGGCCTGTTTTATTTAATCAAATATGGACTTAATGGGTAATGCCTATATTGTACTAGGTTTATTAGAATCCTGAATGAGACTGCTTTGTGATGGGCATCACTTTTTTGTAACTATTGCGTTGCTTGTTGTTTCCGTGTTTTGGGTCAAAGAGGATAGGGACATGGGGTTGGTTCTTGATTTGCGATTTTCTCCCTTCTTTTATGTTAGCAACTTAACCATGGCCTATCACAGCTGTACCAACATTTACATGTTGGCTTTAGTCTTACTCTTGCATTTTACTGAACTGCCTGGCAATTGGCATGGTCGTACCTTTACTAGATTTTGTGACAACTATTTCGGTGATCCCAAGTATTTTATCTTTATGAACTCAAGCCTTTGACAAAGCCACTCCAAACTTGAAGTCAAGGAAAAACATCTGTCATTTCCTTTTTAAAGCCCCGTTCTTGCTCTGATGGTGATATAAGTCTCACTTAATTATTTGGCAATAGCATTTTGGTGACCTCTTTATTGCAACTCAAATACTGAGTTTCTGAGCATCGTATTACTTGACCTTTCACATCCCTAGTTTTGGACCTCCCATTAGGATATGCACCCTTTTGATGACTCCAGGGAGCAACAAAAGTGTCTGTCCTACAACCTGTTTCTCACATCAGCTAATTCTGCTTGTTAGTTGTTCTTATACACATGGGTACAAACCTACAAGGTACACAAACAGAGGCAGACAAAAATATCTATGTATGCAAGCATATTTTGTTCTCTTGCATATCTTCATATGTACCTCTAAACGCTGCTTCAATAATGTTCAGTTGACATGTATTGGAAAAAAGTTTTTGGACATTTTGAGTTTGTCATGGAATATTGGATGTTTGTTCCCTTTGTTTCTTCACAGCAACATTGTCTGCTGATAACATGGTTTTCTAGGGTTATCTTGCACAACCCCTTTGTTCCCTTATATTTTTTCATGCTGTTATTTACTTCACTTGAAATTATAGACATGGTTTTTCTATTGATTAACATGATTTTCCAGGGTTATCTTGCACAAGTCCTTGCCTTCGAGTACCAGCATTCTGTTGTTGCGATAGATGCGTGTTCCCATCATGGAAAGGTTACGAATGCTCGTGCAGAGCGAATTAAGAAGCATTACATGGCTCAGATGCGGAAACTTGGGTATGTTAGGGAGTCAACTTCCTTTATTTTTTAACATTTGTGTGGATTTCATTGTCACAATTACACTTTCAAGTTAATTGAACCTCTACTTTGACAAGCCTTACACTTGTTGACAGATTGCACATTTTTCTGTTAGATCAGGAAAAAAGAGATTAAACGTGCCCCAAACAATTACATGCAACATAATGTCTCTGGAAACATTGAAATCCTTGACCACCTTGTCGCAGCATGAAGCTGATGTTGAGCAGCCAAAATCGATTGAGCAAGATCTTGAACTTGGTTCGGCAGGCAATGGGAGTTCCTTAGTTCTGGCTGGCCTTCATGCTTGCGGAGATCTCTCAGTAACAATGCTCAAGTAAATGTCAAATTATGTTTGTAAGCTATTATTTTCCCTAGCCTTACTACTTGGATGAATGATGATAATTGTTGAAGCCATCTTAAGTCTATATATTAAAATTGTGCATTCAAATGTAATAGATTGAACATGGACACACAATATGGGTGCAAGACTACGCAGACAAAAGGACACAAGATTGCTAAAACATTAGGATACTGGTATAACAAGACATGGCAGTTAAAAATAATTTTAATAATAAAGGATAAAAATAATGTCAAATTAGGAAACATAGAACTTTTAAATTTGGAAACTTTAGGGATAGAGATGTCATTGTTGGCTGGAGCATTTGATACGGGTACTGCAGTGCTGAGACCTTGAAATTTTGACAGCAGGTGGGGCACTGCAGTGCCCTTGCTTCAAAATACTAGGGACTATTGTAGGACTGCTGCAATGCTCTGCTCCAAACTCTTGCTTTGTGTTCCATTTCACTCCCAAATGTTGCCATTTGAACCCGGTTACCTAAGTCCTCTTCACTTGAGTTGTAAGGATTTATGCGGTCACAAGTTTTCATCATTTGATCTGATTTGACTCGGTTTTAGTATCCTAAACAAAAATCAACCATTTACTTGAGTTTTTGCTCAGAATTAAAGCAACAATAATGTGAAGACTACAAAATTTAAATGGGATAAACTCAACTATAAATAAATAAAATTAAAATTAAATCTCAAGAACTTAGCTCATATTTAGCTCAAACTAAGATTAAATAACTCTCTAGAGTTATCAAGTACTTGCTTCGAGCATCTTTTTTTGGTGCTTCATAACAACCCTCAAAGAACAATGTCCACGATCATTCCCAAGTTGTGGTGGTGACAATTGCAATGAAACAAATAACATACATAGTTATTGCTCAATGTTCATTGTTTGATTGCTTTTTTCATATTCACTTTAGTTCTACAGTTGTAGTTGGTTAATGTGTCTAATTTTTATCTTTAGAAGATCAAGATACATAATGGATACCAGTTAGAGGTTATGTTTCAAACTTGTAAAATCATGTTTATAAGATTTGAACTTTAACCTAAAGAAAAATTAAAGAAGAATAGAAGACTTACCTCAACTGACATTAACCTCCAATTGTCTATTAGATTTACTTCGCTGTGTCCAAAAATGTAGTTGTCAAAACCTATGAAGCATTAACATGGACACAGGGTATGACCATGACATGACACAGTGACATTGGCTTTTTTTCAATATTTTTGAAATATATAAATATATTTTAATTATTTTAATTTTGCATATAAATGATTTTTATTTTACATTTCCTTAAAAACTCCTTATTTTTTACATTTCCTTATGTTGCATTTCAGTAATTTCATGTTGTTGATTTCTGTTTTGTGATGCAATGCTGAATTATGTTTTCAAATATTAAGAGAACCATGTCCTTGTTAATTTAGTACTTGAGCTATAGAATGTTTATGTAATTGATCAGGACTCTTTTAGAGTGTGAAGAAGTTAGGGCAGTTATTAGCATTGGCTGTTGTTACAACTTACTATCTGAAGAAGGGTTTGAAAATGCTCACATTCAATATGGTTATCCAATGAGTTGCGGTGTAAGAAGTGCTAGCTTGTCTCTTGGAAAAAGTTCTCGTGATCTTGCTTGTCAGGTATATGCCGATCTTGCTTTCCTTTTACAAGAAATATGATGCAAATGGCAAATGCATGAGAGTTATTTTTTGCCATAAGCGAAGATAACCTTAAACCAGTATAAGTTGATGTGCAGGTAAGTATGAGGAATATGGTGTACTTGTAAAAGCAGCTAAGCAAATAAAAGTTTGATATGCAGCAATCCTTTGAATTTCATAAGAAAGAATTGTAGCAATCTGCCTAATTAGAACGTTGGTGGGTTATGTTTTTTTTATTATTTATAAATGTGGGTTATGGGTTTACGGTGTATGGTTAAAAGAACAGGGTCGAGATACAAGTTGTGTTTAACTATAATGGCTTTGTGTATAATATTATTGCTTTTGGTTTATGTTTCTTGTCTTTTAAAGATAAAACAAAAAATAATGCGTTATTTGTTTAGAGTGCTGAAAGATGGAAAAGTTTAGGAAAGGATGCTGGTCTCCTCAATTTTGAGCTACATGCTTTCCGCGCTGCTTTTCAAATGGTAAAGGGTACTTGATTTTAATGTTGGGATTCATTAGTTTGCTTCCACAATGTCAACTAGTTATTCTAATTGTCAGTACTTTTGAAAGGTTTTGCATAAATATTTCCCTGAAGTTGGAACAAGTCCTTCAATTGGGCGCCAAGGGAAGGCATTGCGCCGTAAGCAGCAACGGAATATAATTGAGTCTGAACTGCGTGCTGAAGAAAGTACTTCTGATTTGCCTCAGAGGGCTTGTAATATGGACAAGGCTTGCTCTATCATACAGAGCAGAGAATCCGAAGCAGGTACCTAATGACTAATTATGTTTTAGGATAACTAGTTTGTTGCACTTTTGATACCTTCCACTACATCCTTTTCTCTCTTCTTAGCATGGTTGTGGTAATTGCCTAGTGAAGATCGTGCTTTGGGAAAATTTTCTTTTGACGTGTATTAGATTGGTTGGGAAATTTGAATTACTTATAAGATGCTGCAACTTTTCCTTGTGCTGCAGCTGACCCTTCAGGTGTAAGGTTGGATATGGATGCCTTATTCAATAAAATGTCCTTGCATGCTGGTAGTAGATGTGAAGGGACTCTGTCTTCCGATAAGTATTCGCTTTTTGAGAAATTTTGCGAGTCTGGATTATGTCGTCTTGGGCTTAAACCATCGAATGATATAAATTTCCATGACATTTGGAAGGAAGTTGAACCCTATGTTGTACGTCTCTCCAACTAATTATTTCCATGGCCACTTTAGAATTGCTTTGATAATGCATATTTCATGAGATTTTGTAAGTGTTGATTAATTGTTTGATATTGGGGATGCAGAACCTTATTGGAGTATACTGGTCACTTCGTGCTGCTTTCGGGCCTCTCTTGGAAACTCTTATTCTTCTGGATAGATTATTGTTCCTTCAGGAGCAAGGTGGTAAGCTGGAAGCAGTAATGTTACCCATTTTTGATCCAGCAATATCCCCGAGGAATGTCGCCATTATCGCCAAAAAGCTCGATGCAGGTTTGGTATCTTGTCATGGCTCAAGATAAAGGTTATATTTTGCCTTTTCTTCGTATTTCCACCAACTGGTTGAGTTTAGACTTCATTTAAAGAAAAGACTTTGCTGGTTTATGGCCTAATTATTTCCAAGAAAAAAGGTCTTTGTTTGTACCAATTAGATGAAGATTGAATATGATTTTAAAGTAATATATGTGTTCGGTTTTAAATATGGATAAGTTCACATATTTTTGCAGACAAAACTGTTTCAACCCGAGTCACTTAGAAAGAATAACATTCTGTTTACCAATGAGACCGCACTTTAAGTTCAATTGAATTATATTTTAAATATAATATTTTGTATTAATGAATAACAATTGTTATGGTTTAATTTCAAATTTATTTAGACTTATAATTAAATAATCATAATAAATTATATAAAACTTGAATTGAACTAAAACATGAAAGAAATACTTGATTTAAAAATAATTGTTCAAACTAGGATGAGCGTGGGATCCGAATTCGACGGGTTTGACCCGACTTGACCGGGTTGGTTTTTTTAAAAAAAATCGGGGTTGGATTTGGGTTTAGGGTGAAAAATATGACAACTAAAAAAGATATAATTTTACCTTATATATTTATTTATATATTTATGAATAATTATAATATACCTTTTTATATATTTTTTCTAATTAAATCACTGTTTTTATTAATAAAAAGTATTTTTATTATTTTAGGTCGGTTTGGATTTTATCTCAAAAAGTCAAATCGGGTCGGGTGGAGATATATTTTTCAGTCGGGTGAAGGATATAAAATTTTTGGGTTGGATTGGCGGAAATCTACCCAAACCCGACCTATGATCATACTTAGTTCAAACTATATTTCAGGGGTCAGGAAATGCTTTGCAATGGAATGGAAAAGTGATTTTGAACTTTTGTAATATAAAATTCTCTTTGAGTGAAATTATAATTTTATCCTTGAATATTATATTTTCAATTTACAATATAATATTTGCAAGGGATAGTTTATCTTTTTAAAATCACTTTAATATCAATCTTAAATTGTTAAATTGTATTTTTAAAACACTTTTAAAGTAATTTTTTACAGTACTTTATAAAATTAATACCTAATTGGATTTTAGGTGCCTAAAGAATTGTTCCCTAAAAATAGGTGTTAAACGTTACACATTTATGTACCTACGTCGTAATGTCTGTTAAAAAATTCTTAAGTTACATATTATGTTTATATTTTTTAGAGAAGAGAATAAAAATACTTATTTTTAGGGAAAAAAAACTCAATTCTTTAATAAAAAATTTATAATACCTTAATTCCCTTTTATCCTACTGTTCAACAGCGTTAATGATCACTTTTGATATCGATAAATTTATCTTATCATCTTCTATCATTATATCAATTTAGATTTTTTTTTTAAAACAAAAATTCTATAAAAGTCATGTTTTTCTCTAAAAAATGCATGAAATTTGGATGAAAAATAGAATCTCATTTGGATGTAAATAAATTTTATTTTAAAAAAAGGATGAGGTTAATCGGTTAAATCATCCCTTCTTCACCTTTCCATCCAAATAGCCTGGGGGACGTACAGTCTCCGTTTGGGTAAGCAAAACATCGGGTTATCCACTAAATTGTGTTTTCTAACCATTCAATGAGTTGGTTTAGTATTTGATTTACTCTAGTCGAGTTAAAATTTTGAGTTAGTAAATTAATAAGACATATTTTATAACTTAAATTTTTTGAATCGAGTCGAATTATTTGAGTTTCTGTTTAAATTTAATTGTAAATATTTATAATATTATGATACTAATTGATTTTAATTTAAACAATTTTCTATCACCATATATGATATACATATAGGGTTCTTCATATTTTTTTAATGCGATAGACATACATCATACAAAGTTAAGATAATTAACTCAAAATTAAAAATTAATCCATTAATTACTAAAAATTTCGATTTATTTAAGTCTTATTTTATAACTCAAATTTATTCATTTATTTTTAAATCAAATTGAATCAATTTTTTTAACATCAAAATAAATCAAAATGTTTAAACTTTTCAAATCAAATTGAATCTTGAAATGTTACTACATTATAATATAAAAAATAAAAAATCTAAATACTCTTTTTCTACTCCATCGACTTAACAAAACAACACATTATATATATATTTTGAATCGAAAGGAGTCTAAAAGAAGGTATTAGGCATGTCCAGGACGGACCTTTGATGTCCCGACTAAGTAAAGCATTGAGGGAGAAATCAAATAGATTCAATCGACCAGCACCATCGCCTTCCTGTTTTGTCATGTAGTCCGCAGTCCTGTTCACCTCACGTCGGATAAGCTTTACGTTGACAAACCAAGTTTTATTAATAAGAACAGTAATGTCACACACCAAGGAATATGGGCTGTCCATATCGGCGTATTGGATCAAGTGAGAAGTATTTGAGCTGTCCATTTGGAGTTGAATTTTCTCATAGCCGTTTGCCCATGCCAACTTTAAACCTTCGAGCCTCCCGCCCCCATGCTCCACTTCCATGAGAAAAGTACCTTCATGGTCAACTTTATAAAACAACACATTCATTAAAATTTGAGACACCATGATCACCATAAAATTAGGACAAGAAAGCAACAATTTTCCTTAATAACAAGTGTAGAACAACACCTGGAGTTTGTTTAGTAAATTAAAACAAGGGTAAAATACACAAACGGTCCCCTGATTATAAGATATTTACTTTATTGAGTTCATTGATTATTAAAAGTTACAAAATGATCATCTGATTATAAGATATTGTATTGTTGAGTCTCCCAACTATTAAAAGCTACCAAAATGATCACCCAACTATTCATATATCCTAAACTCGTCATTTTTCGTTAAAAAATTGTAACCGTTTGAGATTGACGTTAACTTATTTATTAGGATATGATAAAATTTGATCACAAAATTGTTTTAGCTATATTTTGTGGAATGAATCTCGGTTTACATTATGTCGTCGAGCCAGTATTGAAATATTATGATGGAGAGTTAGTGTTTGAAAGCAACGACAGTGCCATTAGATATCATTAAAATATAATTTTATCATACCTCAGTCTACAAGTTAACGTCCAACTTAGAAAGAACGTTTTTAATGAAAAAGGATAATTTTAGAACATATGAATAGTCAAATGACAATTTTTCTAACTTTTAATAGTCAAGAGACTCAACAAAAAACATCTTATAGGCGGGAGATCATTTTGTAACTTTTAATAATTAGAGGACTCAACAAAATAACATTCTATAGTCATGGATCATTTGTGTAGCTTACCCTAAAACAAATAAAATGAATAAAGAAGAGAGGAATAGTACCTGCTAAGTACGTCCTACCTGTACCCCCACTCATTCATCATTGCCTTTCTATGGGTATCCTTTCTTTCTTTCTCTAACCTCTTCCCTATATAAATTCCATTTCCCTTCTTTCAATCAAACACCCAAACACAAACAAACCATTGCAGCTACGTTTTATTACACTCAGAATTTCTTTGCAATGAAGCAACTCATCCGCCGTCTCTCCCGCGTCGCCGACGTCTCCGCCCAGTACAACCTCATCCGCTCCACGCCTCCACCTGAATCCTTTCGTGTCGCTGTTAAGAAGCAGGCGCCGCGGTCGGTCACCCAGGGCCACGTCCCGGTTTACGTCGGGGAAGAGATGGAGCGGTTCGTTGTTAACGCGGAGCTGCTCAACCACCCGGTTTTCGTCGGGTTGCTTAACAAGTCGGCTCAGGAGTACGGGTATGAGCAAAAAGGGGTGCTGCATATTCCCTGTCGCGTGCTCGTTTTTGAAAGGGTTATGGAAGCATTGAGACTAGGGGTTGAATCAAGTGACCTCCAGGATCTCCTTCGTTCTTTCTCCGACGATTTCTAGGCAGAGAAACATGAGCATACGAGGTCTGTTTTTTTTAGGTTTTCCCCCCATGTAAATAGATGATGTTAAAGGAAAATGGAAGAAATGTAGGGCTCTTTTAAGCGTGGTCCTTCAAATGTAAGGAGAACTGAAAAGAAATTGAGGATAAACTCATTTTTTTTGCCATATATTTTCTTTTTTCATAATTCTCTTTTGTCAGATTTTGTTTTCTGTTTGGCAGTTAAGAAAACCACGCTTCAAAGGAAAGTGTGAAAAATAGAAACAAGTTTGAGATTCTGATGTGTAAAGGCAATTCTAAAGTGCTGTATTTTCTCTGTTTTTTTTTCCATGAAAATTTTAAAATACAATTTTCCACATAAATTGATTATAATAAAAAAATCTTACTAAGAGTTTAATTTTTTAACTTGTATCTAGTGATTTTTAAAGTTAGACGGGTTATAACTTGTAAATATTATTTTTTTCGTAATATTTTTAATTAAGCAATAATAACATTCTAAGTTTAAATTGTTAAGATCCCGTAAGTTAGAGCTACCATTTTTTGGGGTGAAAATTGAACCAACTTTTTGAAATTTGGATTTCTTTCTTAAACTTTCTCGATGTCCAAACAAAAGGTGGGAAGAATGAGTGTGTGTCAGGGGCAGATCTATAATTTGGTGGAAAATTAGGTGGCTGTTTTTCTGCTTCCGATGTTATAGGTGGCGGTGGGAGGGGTACTTCGGGAAGGTATGAAATTTGGGATACAGGCATCGCTGATAAAGCTGTTTAAGTTGGGATAGATTAAAGATGTTATCTACATATATATTATATTTAAAAAGTCTGATTAAATTTAATGTTATTGATTAATAATTATTAATTTATTTAAGAATATAATCTATAGCACGAATCAAGGTGATATTAGTGGCTAACATTTGTTATTATCTTTGAAGTTTTAGATTCGACACTGTATATTAACAAATATTACATTTCAAAGCAAACATCTTTTTGTTCATTCAAATCATTTAATATATCTTGATATTTTTCCCATTTCATTGCACATGCAATCCCTCTCTTTAATTTACAGATGCATTTTGTGAATATCTTTGAGGGCTGTGATAAAGGTTTTCAAAATTTTAGGGTTATTTTAAAATTTATGTGTGTTTTTTTTAAAGATATATAAATTTATTTTTAAAATTTTATATAAAATTTTTAAAATTATCATATTGTGACACATGTCACTTAACGGATAAAACTAAGGGTCTGTCACAGCTTGACCCGTTTTGAGTAACAGAATGAAACATTAGACATCAAATTGAAACGAAATAAACAATATATTAAACAGAAAAAACGGGCATAGGTTCACTTTTTTGTATATTTAAGCATTTGTTCTTTTAAGTCTGAAATGCTTTGGGTTGTTTTCCTTTGTTTAATAATTTTTTAATATAAAAATAGTAGGAATTTTTGTCTTATCTAATGCCAATAATAATGTTATTTTTTTGAAAGTGATTTTAAGAATGCATTTGTTTCCGCCCTCTTCAAGTATTTGGATGCTTAATTATCTTTATTTTGTATTAATTAATATTTTGGATCATAAGAAATTATTCTTTTTATCGTGATAATTACTTACAGTTACCCTAAATATATTATGTTCGAGCCGTCATAAAACTTATTCTTTTCATACCAACGTTAAAGCATTTATTTGCGTTGATAGAATTTTCTTTCACCGTTGATAACAAGTGTTTATTCTATAGTATTCTCGGTCTGTGTGATATTATTTATAGAGTGAATGGATTAATTCTTCTTCAAAATCATTTTAAATTTAACTTTTTTTAATCATGTCCGTTAAATGATTAGCAAATGATGTGCAACTTTTAATTTCTGATTAATAATAAATTTAGTTTACATATTAATTAATTAAATACCAATTTAAACAAGTCTTAATTTTTATATATTATATTAAATTAGTTATAATTATTTAAAAATTATAAAAATAAACTTGAATCTTTTTAGATTTTTTATTCATTAATGATGACTTTGATGTTCTTCAACTTCCGTCGTCGTCTTCGAATGTCAAAATTCTCAATACATTGTTACGTATTATAGTATTAAATTTAAATCATTTATTTACTATTATTTTATTTAAATTTAACTTCTCAATTTTTTTTTTCTAAAAAAAATCTAATGGTTGTTTGAGATCAATAACAATACATAAAGTTGATTTTCATCAGTTACATGTGATTTGGGGTTTTCTTCTAAAATTAATAAGGCAAGTATATATATAGTATATTGACCGGTGAGGCAATTACAATCTCAGATGAACTCGTCTTCCTCAAATTGTGCTGCAAAACAAGGCATCATATTAGGGAAAACGTAAAGAAAATAACCTCTAATGTTCTTATGCCAACAACTTTTTGGATCAATTTTTGAAGGAGGCGTGTCAACATGTTTTAATCAAGCTTTCGTGTTCAGCTTCCTCAATGAAACCAGGAATGTTACTTTTTGTAGGAAATATATTTATAACATCATATAAATTATAACACGTTAATAATTTAGATTATATATAATTTTAGCATATATATATATATATATATTTATGTATGATGATGATAGTAAGTAGTTCTCATCGGTCGAGTGAGGAGCAAGAGAGACGTTGGAGGAGTAGTAGTTAGGGATGGGCATAGGTCGGGTTTTTGGTCCACCCGTCCCGATTCGAGAATAAGCAGTCCTCCACCCGAGACTCGACCCTACATGACCAAAACAAGTTTTCACCCGACCCGAAATAATAAAAAATTATTTTTATTCAATAAAAATAGTGACTTAATTGAAAAAAATAATATGTAGTGAGATATTATTGTAATTATTCCTAAATATATAAGGTAAAATTATATATTTTTTCGAGTCATGTATTTTTCATCCTAAACCCGAACCCAACTTGACCCGAACCTTATCTTAAAAAAACCCCTACCCGACCCTGATTTTTTTTTTTAAATCTGACCCGATCCCATATCCATCCCTAGTAGTAGTGGTAGAAATCCTTGAATTTTTCTCTTTCGGTTTTCTAAGATCCCACAATGCTAAGATCAGATATCAACGTTTTCTTCCTCTACGAAACAAAAAAGCGTCATTATCACCAACAACTTCAGATCATATCAATTGATTGAGGTGCTTAACCAACCAAAATTTATATCCTCCCTCCGTGCTTAATGCTCTTTTTTAGATATACATAATTAAACCAATAATAAAACTTTAAATTCCATCATTTTGATGGCTGAATTATGTATATATATAAAAACATAAACGTCGACCTATTTTTTATGGGATTCATTTAGTTCCGAAATTATTTTTTGAGCCAGAATTAAATTATATTTTTTAATGATTGAAGTATAATTTTAATTTTGTTTGAGCTTATTATTAAGTATTTTTTAATAAAATTACTTTTTCATTTTTTTTTATAAATTAATAAAAATTGAAATATTAAAAGTGTTTATAAAATATAATAAACATTTTCTTTAATGCTCATTTCTAACCAATCTGAATATATTATTGCTTCTTGAAATATATCTAATGTAATTAATTTTACATTAAAATAATGTTAAAATTCAGATTCACATACTATCATTCACACGAGAATAAAATAATGAATGTATCTTAAGTTAAAATGAAATACAAATATTGAGCAGTTGTCTCCATATCAGAGCTTCATGATAGATATACGTTAAAGCTGTAACCAGCTTTTTCCTTCATCTTTTTTTAATATTTAAAGTTAAATTTATAATTCCACCACACACCGTAAGCTCTTTCAACCCGAATCTTCCACCTCTCTCTTATTTAAATATGTTTTCCTCCTCTTTTTTGGTTTTTATTTACCGAAAATTAGTATTATAAATATTGAAAATATAAATCATAAATCAGATGTAATACGATGAAGCATTGAAAATGGTTGGTGGGGGTAGATGATTATATAAATAATTGATATATACGCTGTCATTCACAGTATCAAGACTTGTCCCAATATGCAAAAATCTTATACACAATCTCTTTACCAAACACAAATAACATTTTCTTTCTTTAATCAAATATAAATTGGACCTTTCCGGTAGGGTTAGGTTAGTCACATGCTCGTGCCAAACTCCAAATCTTTGCTTTGTTTGTTCAAACATACATCAAACATATTTATGAATTGATTTTGTTTAAATATTTTTATAAGGATTATTTCCTATGTCATGGCTCAAAATTTAAATCGTTTCTAAAATTTAAAATGTTATAACCGAATCCTTAAAATCTTAACGTTCATCGAATCTAATTTAAGTCATGGTTGTTACCTCATAGGTTGTACCTCTCCGCCTAAATCAAAAGGGATGAACTGTTAACAGGTTGCGAGACAAACTTATTTCTATCAATACTCGGGGCAATGAATGTGAACGAGTCTTACGACCGAGAGAATCAGTCGAGTTTTATCCCAAAATCAAAATAGTCATCATCACCTTTCATTTTCTTCCTAAAATCTACTCAAATGCGCCTAACTTCTTTGGACAATCCATTGAAGAGGGTTATAAAAGCATATGACGAGGAGAATAATATGAGAGGGGACAGCGCAAGCGACACCGCCTGTCCTTCTCACCGAGATCACTCTTCCCATGACCTTCCCAACTTGGACTCAGCACATCTCGGCCAACCCAAAGATCCGAGCATATGAACGAAGAGCCTGTGTTGCTACAAAGCATGTCCTCCAAGAAACGGCGGATGCTACCGCTATAGAAGTCCATCATTATGATGACTTCTCGATCAAGGGCATCGTCGGAGGATCAATAGAGTATACAAGGGAACATACTCGACATTTTAAAACAAATATACAATATATGAAAAATATAATATTTTACAAAACGAAGCCCCTTGGTTAAAATCAAATACATAAATGAAATATTATAACTTGTCTCAGATTCAAATCATAATCTCTCAACGCACACTAAATCTTCATCATTATACTCTGTTGAGACTCCTCTTATGATCTCATTAATCCTATTAAATATTCTAAATTTTAATTAAACCCTCATTTAAAAAAAATCTTATTGAACCCCTCAAATTTTGAAAATTTTATTT